GTCCCTCCCCCCCCAACCTCCGGAGCTGGGAAGAGAGTCAAGATGGCGGCGAAATCCGATGGCGGTGGCGTGGGGGTGGGCTTCGCCCAGCTGCACAACCTGGACGAGGCGGTGGGCAGCGGCGGCGAGGAGGACGGGGAGCCCGGGGGAGGCGGCTGCGGCGGCGGCGGCGACGGCAGCGAGCCCGGCGAGAGCAGCTCGCTGCACATCTGCCACTGCTGCAACACCTCCTCGTGCTACTGGGGCTGCCGCTCCGCCTGCCTGCGCTCCCTCCTGGGCAGGAAGCCGCGCCGCAGCGCCGCCGTCGCCGACGGGGGGGACCAGCCGCTGCAGCCGCCCGCGGCCGCCGACCGCCAACCTCCGACGCCCTCGCGGCCGCAGCCGCCGCAGGTGGAGCGGCCGTGGCTCGACTGCCTGTGGATCGTGCTGGCGCTGCTGGTCTTCTTCGGGGACGTGGGCACCGACCTGTGGCTGGCCCTCGACTACTACCGCAAGGGGGACTACGGCTACTTCGGGCTGACCCTCTTCTTCGTGCTGGTGCCGTCGCTGCTGGTGCAGAGCCTGAGCTTCCGCTGGTTCGTGCAGGACTACACGGGCGGCGGGCTGGGCGCCGTGGAGGGGCTCAGCAGCCGGGGCCCCCCCATGATGGGGGCCGGCTACGGCCGCCCGGCCACGCCGGGGGCGCAGCGCCTGTGCCGCCTCTCCGTGTGGATCTGGCAGTCGGTCATCCACCTGCTGCAGATGGGGCAGGTGTGGAGGTAAGAGCACTGCGGGGGTGGGGGCGGGGGCTGGCGGGCCGCCCTGCGGAGGGCCCCTGCGCCCTCCAGGTGCCTCGCGGGTCGGCCCCTCGGACGGGCCCGGCCCGGGGGGCCAGAAGGAGGGGTTGGCCGCGCACTTCCCCTGGCGTCTCAAAAGGACCGTTGCTTGCTCTGGCTCCCTGGCCACGCCTTTTGGCCCGGGGAGGCCCGAGTCCTGCTGTTTGCTTCTCTCCATCCCTGGTTCGCACTCAGCGGAGACCCTGCCTCATCCTTCCCCCCTTCTCCTCTGCAGACCTCCGTATCCCTGTTGTCCCTTTCGCCTATATCCCAAGGTAACCAGCCGCTAGCGCCTTTTATCTGCACCCCAGCTCGCGTCCTGAGGGGGACCTTCCTCCCTCCAGCCGGTTTGCGCTCGGTTTTGTCCCCCGGTGAGACATCCTCCCCTCTTCCCCCGTTTTCTCTCTGCAGTGGCCTGTGTGGGGCCCTGTGGAAAAACCCTCGCTGCCTCTCCTTTAAGCACTCCTTCATTCCACGCCCCCTCCCCCTTCCTGCAATCCCAGCCCCTGCGAATGACTCCAGTCCGCTACCCTCCTTGAAGGAAAAATGACTTTTTTTGCTGGAGTAGACGTGCCCTTTCCTTAGTGACAGGTAAAAATTGGCTAATATATGATGGGTGCAACTCATTTGGTGTTAACTCTCTCCACCAGAAAACCAATTCGCCACCTGGACACCTATTCGGGGAGAACAGTGTTTTTTGGGTAGCCAGGCCAGTGTGTGAGTGATTTATGTTTCCACAGACCCAAGCTGGGCTTTGCGGCCCTTTCCCCTTTTGTAGATTTCCCGTGTGCCGGGTGGCTTCCTCAGAAACCACTTGCAGGTGCTCTTTTTGCCAGGAGCCTTAAACTGACTTAAGTGGCTAAACTAAGGAAATGGTCCCACTAAAACCTTGGTAAATCTGTGCCTTCCAACTTAAATTAGCTTGAGTGTATTCTGGAAGCAGTGAGTTGTAAGTGAGAGCATTTGCAGAAGAAAAAAACCTTACTGGAGATAACTTACACAGGGACAAGCTCTTCAAGTACATTGCTTCTGCAAGAAGACGTCTTGCCTTGACTGCCCTGACTCCTGTGCCTAGTAGGAGGTTTCAGGCACTCAGTATTTCAGGTAACCAAGGTTTACTCAGGTTAGCTGAAATAAAGCTCATTGTCTTTTGAGTGGTTTGTCCAGATGTCTATTCAGAATGTATTTAAGTAAAAACGTTTCAGAAAGCGTGGGATTGAGTTAAATCAAATCTGGAGAGTGAATGCAAGAACTTTGTCCTACAGAATTGGCATGCAAATTCAGGGTAGGGCAGGTGAGGGTAGTTCTTGATGTTGCTGGTTCTCCCAGAGTTGTTTACTGGTGTTCCTGGGTTGAGCCAAGAACCTGTTCCCCAGCTGCATTTGTCTGCAGATTTTTTGTTTCCTGCTGATAAGTTTATAAGGAAAGAGAGAATAAAAATAGAAGAAGTGCTGATTAATTAACTTTTAGCTGTTGTGAGCATAACTTGGGGTCCAATAAAATTCTGAAATATGGTTTGAGTTTGAAGTCTAAATGCAAAAGCACCCCTAAACACCCAAATCCATACTGTATCAAAGATAGTGTGTTTGATATTGGGGACATCTTTTTTTCATTTTCTGGCTGGTAACATGCAAAGAATGAAGGGGGAGAGGGACAAAAAGTGTGGGGAAGAGAGTGGTTTTGAAATGCTAGTAGAATTTAACGGCATGTATTTAATAACTAGGCTTCTGCTGAACAAGCTGAAGTCGCCTATCTCCCTGTGTTAAACTTCTGAGTGTGGGCAGGAAAAATGTTGGTGTCAGGTTAAAATTCCTGAGAGAATTGTTTCTAATGGAATCTGTGATAGACATTTATTAGTAGTAAGCATTTGGGACACAATGAAATTGAAGTTAAGTTTCACGATCTTTTTAGGCAGAATAAATCCCCCCCGCCCCATTCACCTAAACCTTAGTTGTATTTGGGCAAAGTAAAAGCCCAGACTTTGGGAGAAAGTGAAAAGTACATTTTAAGTGTAAATTTAGCTTTTGTAGTTTATATAAAGGAGTATGTATGTTTTTTCTGGTCTCCATTTAACTTTCAAGGTCTACAGTGAGATACATAGATTTTAAAAAGGTGCCTGTGATTTATGTCTAACTTTTTAAAAGTCTTTTTTCAAGATTAGAATATATTTCTAAATATTTCATAAAGTTAAGGTATTAAAAGACATGCTAATTCAGCTAAGTTATTTCTTCTAACGTAGCTCTACTTTGAAACCGATATTTCCTGAGGAATGATTTTATTTATTTTTTCCAGTAGGCTGATTTTGGCTGAAATACTTCAGGAGCAAGGTCTGCTCTCTTAATACCTGCTAGGCGTGTTGTTTGTATTGAAATCATTCATATGTGAAAGCTTTAGAGAAAGGTTTTTATTCTTTTCTTGTTTTAATCTCTTGGCAAACAATTGCTTGTCAGTGTGTATAAATATACATCATCTTTGTTTTTACTGCACATCTTTTGGTGTTATAGTTTCCTTAACCATATTTGCCGTTTAAACTTTGCTATTTCATGTGGTCACATGACAAAGGTTAAGGTCTAGGAATTCTATCATTTGATTTGGGTCGCATTTCTAAGAAAAGATGTCAGTGAAGTTGTACATTGTCAAAACTGATTCCATTAGAACATGAATATCTGTCTCTTCACATGCCTTTCTTTTTTCTTTCTTTCTTTCTTTCCTTTTTTTTTTTTTTTTTTAGCGTAAACTTATTTGACTCTTGCTTGGACAAAGCACAATGCCTTTGTGAGGTACTTTGGCTTCCACTGACATTAAGGTGGTGCGATTCTGTGCGTGTTACTGTTCCCGTCAAGATGGCAACTACTTGACATCTTTTACTAAATGACTTTACAGAATTTAAGGAAATGTTTTTGGTTGGGCTGAAATTGGAGGATGGAAGAGTAGTTGTCTGCAGAATGGCTTGGTATCATGGGCCTGCTCTTGCAGAGAGCACTGGTGTGTGATTAAGGTCTGTCTGATGCTTGCATTGCCCTCACTAATTACTAAACGTGTACCTTCCTATATAGTATTAATTGCTCTGTGTTTCAGATGCTGCTTCCAGGGATAACAGGCATGAGTCACTCATGCCAGGAATATGACTCACATCAGGCTTCACTCTAGTATAATGTTGTTAATAGAAAGTGAGATCATTTTCTTGGAGGGTTTGACGTTAGGAACAGCATGATTTAGTTTGCATGTTGCATTGTCGTATGGAAGTTTTTTCCTTCAGTTTGTTGTTTAGAGGGTGCTTAGTGTGTTGTCAGTTCTCCTCAGAACAGCAACAGTTCTTTGACTAACAGTTCATCGGATGTCATGATGTCACAGCCAAATCATTACTCTCCCTTTTATTTTTATGTGTGCGCACTGTTCTATTTTAGAGTAAAAGAGGAATTTACTTGAATTCTTTATAGTATTTGCCATTTTTAAAGTGAGGGTCAACTGTCCTTTATCTTGTGGGATGGGGCGGACTAGGTGGTTGCCTTCAGGGAGAAAAAAAGAAAAAGGCATTTCTCGTTTCGTAATGGCACTATCAATCTGAAACCTTCTAAAGCTTCTAAAGTCGCCATTTTGAGAGTTTGGTATAATGTAAGTTCACAGCTCCATAATCAGCCCCCTCCTTCGCCCCCATGTTTGGGATACTTAGTATATTATGTTTTTTGGTTCCTGTTGAATATTTTGGAACAGTGGTTCTTAATTCTGGCTGAGAATAGAATATACTGCAGCTTTTAAAAAAATAAAACGCCTGGGCACGGTTGGACCTGCCGAGGAAGATTCCTAGGGTGGGACCTGAGCAGTAGCACTTTTAGAAGCTCCACAGGTGATCGTATGGGCAGCCGGGCTTAATAAACACTTTGGAATTGGGTTTCAAGCTTATTCCATTTGGAGATGGATATTGGATTTGTGTTCTTAATAAGTATGATGAACAATTAGGAAAGGAATGAGCTGTTACTATGAAGTTTGGTCCCTGAACAGCACCGTAACAAAACGACTTTACCTTGGAAACGTGAGTGTCTAAAAGGACCTGGGGCTGTCTCAAGGATATGCACTCATGGTCCTCTATGTTTTCTATTTCTTTGAGCCCAAGTATGAAGCTCATTATAAAAGGATTCTCAAATTCAAAGCAATCTTCAATAAATGTAGCCTGCTTCTTTGCCTTTTATGGGATACAAATAATACTTTTATGATTATGTTGGGTATAAAAGGTATAATCAGTTTAATTTTGAAATTATTAAGTAGGCTTGAGGAAACATAACTGGGATTACCGATGGTGTTGGACTAAGTGATCTGTAATGTCCCTCTAGTTTGAAGATTTTGCGACTTAAGAACAGGAATATTACCTTACAAATAAGGAAGCTCATTTGTGTGGGGCCAGGGTACACCAGTCATAGACACATTAAAAGATGATATACATGTATTTGTGTATGTGTGTAGGAAGCTTTTTATATCTGCTTATTACAGGGTCAGAATCTTAATGTTATAAAAATAGCATTTTTCCCATAAACTTAATGGAATTGTGGTTAAAAAGAAACTCAATGGTTTTGGGTTTTTTTTTGTTTTGTTTTTTTTTTTTGAGACAGGGTCTCACTCTTTTGTCCAGGCTCCAGTGCAGGGGTCAATCCTAGCTCACTGTAGCCTCCAACTCCTGGGCTCCAGCGATCCTCCTGCTTCAGCCTCACGAGTAGCTGGGACTACAGGCATGAGCCACTGTGCCTGGCTTCAGTGGGATTTTTTGAGGGGAAACTTGAGTGAAATTGATCAGAGAAAAGTATAGTTAAAATAACTTTGAAAAGGAAAACTGTTGAGACTTACTCTATCAGAAAGTGAATGTGCTGTAACATGTTGGTAAGTAGAACATTGTGCCATTGGCAGAAGAATTAAGTGAATAGCCACAGGGGGAATAGAGAACCTAGAAATAAACAGACATGTTTGTGAGAATTTAGTCGATAGTATAGGTGGCATTTCTAGTCAATGAATGGAAAAAGAATTATTTAACAAATGATACTGGGGCAGTCGACTACCCAATTGAAAAAAGTAGATCTCTACCTTATATAAAGAAAAGTTTTAAAGAATTAAAGATGTAATCATAAAATGTTAAACTGTAAAAACATTAGAAGGAAATGTAGGGTGATTATTTTTTATAATCTTGCAGTGGGCAAGCCCCTTTGGTACCAGCAAGGAAAAAAGGGGCAGATTTAACCACGAACGGTTGCCTCCTCTGGTTTATCCTCTTCTTCCTCTTCACCCACCCGAAAAATCTAGAAATGCGTGGCTGGCTATGAGGGTAGGAGGGTTAAATTTAGACAGAGATACTTCCTCTAGGAGAATGAATATGAAGAGAACATTTCTGAAGATTATTTCTTGGTTTTTTTTGGGTGAATAGTAACAGTAAAAACTTGACATTTATGGTGAATTTTCAAGGGAAGGATGAAAAAATGGCATGCTTTGGAGTAAAATTGCAACTAGTGAGGAAACATAGTATTTTCAGAATGACCCGGAAACAAAGCATCAAAATTATAGAAGTCTAGTATTCCTGAAATCTAGCAGGCATGTGTCAGAAATCACAGGTAGTTCATTTCGGTCTTCAACATCATTTGCTTTGATTTTGCAGACTTTACCATAAGGTCAGTCAGTAAAGCTTATGTAATGGGTAAATTCTGGAATGTTGGAAAGATTCTGTGGGATGCAAAAAGAAATAAACTGTGTCTCAAACGTTGCCATTTTTGCCATGGGATGGTTTGCTTTACAATGTGCTCTCTGCAAGTAAGTTTGTGGTTAAAACTTTAGTTTACTCCCCATGATCTGTTTATCTAGTTTCTTCTATTAACAGTCAGACATTCTGCATTTTTTATTTGGCTCTGACTTAAAATTTTTTTAAAAATCATGAAAATACAGTCTTCTTTAAAAAGTTCAGTGACTTTTGACTAATTGCCCAAAGACAATTCACTGTTTACCACTATTAGAGATATTATTAAAAAAAAACCACAGGAATAAAAAGCATGGAATAAAGGGAATGAACACTGAAGTTAAGACGTCAAGTTTGTCATTTTGCAAGTTACAAACAATTGCTGGCCTCAGATTCCTCATATTGTATTTATCAAAGGAGGAGTTAAATTGATTGATCTTTAATGTCCTTTCAATTTTAAAAAGTCCATTATGGTATAGATATTAGTTCTCTGAAAACAGTTTATTTATTTATTTATTTTTTTTAAGAGTCAGGGTCTCACTATGTTGCCCAGGCCATTCTTGATCTCCTAAGCTCAAGTGATCCTGCCACCTCAGCCTTCCTAGTAGCTGGGGCTACAGGTGCATGCCACTGTGGCCCGCTGAAAACAGTTTTAAAGAAGGAATTTCAGGCTTTGGTTTGCTCAATTAAAATATTTTTAATGTATGTTTCCCAGGAGCTGATTTGAAGTAGGGAGTTCTGAGTCCTAGCACATGTTATTTTCACTTAGTATTAAATAAATTCTCATTATTTTTAATGACTTTGCTATCTATAGGGGCATTTTATGTATCTCACTAGTTAATGTTAAAATTTATAGCAGATTAAACTTTCCAAGAAACTTGTTATGCTGGTTTTATCAGCTAAACTTGTGAATTTGCAATTTCAGCTAAAAATGAAACTGTATTTTAAAGTGATCTTTTTTTCGTTAATCTTATGTTTTAAATTTTTACTGTTAAGCTAAAGTAATGCATATATCTATTTATGCCACATATTTTGGAGGTTTTTCTGAATTGTTTACCAAGATTAATTTCTTTTTTGGGGAAGAACTTCAAAATTACCTACTGCAACTTATTGTTTGTTATGTGTTCTTTAACTTTGAAAAGTTAGTTTGTAGTTTTTTTTTCTTTAAGTAGTAGCTTCTCTGTCAGTTGTGAGCTCTTTTTAGGAAATCTTTCTGTTACGTGAATTTTTTTTCCCCTTAGATTAAGGTATAGGTTCTTTTGTGGCTCCAGTTGAATTTTTAGGAAAGATGGGATTTGCTTGGAGGATTCAGTGACTATTGTTACAATGCCATTAATGTAGTTCTACATAGAATTCAACATTAGGTTTTCTTTTCTATATGTCTAATGTAGGTAGATGTTGGTATATTGCATTATTTTAATATAGCTTAAAACATATCAAGGTATTTTGCGTACTGCTAACAAAATTTCTTATATATCTCTTTTATCTTGAAATATCAAGTTTTTAAAAATTTTGTTTTGAATACAATATTTTTGTCTTTTTTAAGTGTGAGGAAGCTATTTCTGTTTAATTTTGCTCATCAGCTTACAGAGCATGCATGGACTGTGCTTATCTTTCATTTCTAGGAAGAAATGAGAATATTCAGTTCACAGAAAGGTAAATACAACAGTTTTCTTCACAGCAGCGTTGGAGAAGAGGTAGAGTTGATAATTATTGTTTGTCCTGGACATTGCTTTCAAAGAATCATAGGTACACGAAGTAGAGACTTTCTCTGTCGCCATTATACCCCTTTTTCATTCCATCTGCGTATACTGGGCAAATGAGGAGAGGTAGCAACTTTGAGGAAGGCAGCGAACCTATGGCTTGGGAAGCCTGCTGATAAAACAGTGGGCGGGGAGGTCCAGCACTGAGCCCTTCCAGAGGGCAGAGACACTCGCCTTTCTCGCTTCAGCTGTTTCCCCCAGTGTGGGCAGAGTCTCATCTGTGCTAGGATAGCCCACAGGGCCGGGGGACGTGCAGACTCCAGGCCTTACAGCAGACTTAAGGAATTGGAGCCTCAGGGAGTTGGGCCAGGGAATGTGTATCTTTGCTCCATCTTTATTATGGAAACTTTTAAGTATGCAGAGAAATAGAGTAGTAAAGCGAACACCTGTTAGCATTCGCCTGGCTTCAGTAGTTGTTAATATAGATAGATTTGTGTGTGTGTGTATGTGTTTAACATATATCATGACGTTGCGCCTCTAAATGCTTCAACTCAAATACAAAATATTTAGAATAATTCTACAAAGCTACAGTACCATTATCCCACCTAAGAAAATGAACAGTATTTCCATAATTATCCTTAAATCTGTAAAAGTCATCTAACAGCTGCTTCATATTCACATTTGTCCAGTTGTCCTCAACCTATCTAAGAATCTATCGTTTCTTTTATAGATTTTTTTCCTCCTCTCCAAACAAGGATTTAATAATAATTCATGCATTACATTTAAGTCTCCTTAAGTCTAGAACAATTCCCCCTTTTTTTCCTGGTGACATTGACTTTGTTTTGCAGAGTCCAGGCCAGTTCTCTTCTGTCTCATTTTGGATGACCTTAATGTTTCCTCCAGGTGTCGTTTGCCCTCTGTATTTCTGGTAAACTTGAAGTTGCATCTAGGGACTTGATTATATTCAGGTCACAAATTTTTGTCAGAAGTACTGCTTTCTGCTTCATGTTTGTATAATATCCATGGACACTTGATACCTGGTTTGTCCTGCTGTTAGTGATGCTAAGTTTTACCTCTTGGTTAGAGTTGTGACTGCCAGATTTCTCCTTATAAAGGAAAATTTTTTTCCGCTTTGCAATCAGAAGTAACTTGTTGGGGGTCATACTTTGGCAAGGTATCATGTCTTGTTTCCTAAAACCCTTTACCTTATAGTTTTAGGATCCGTTAGGAATCCTTGCCTGAATAAATTATTAAATTGTTGGTGGGGGGTGGGATTTGTATATTAAACAAGCTCTCTAGTAATTATAACCTACTCTAAGGTTTACTAGCCACTGCTTTGCGGGAACTAGGACCTGAGGAGTTAAAAAAAAAAAAAAAAAAAATCTGTCCTGAGAAGTTAGTATGAATCTAGGTGCCGGTGGATTTCGAATGGGTTGTTGGTAAACAGTTAATGAGTTTAAGTTTCACGTTAGTTTTAGAGGAACAAAAATAAGTATAGTGTCCCTCAAGGTCCTCTAGTATTAGTATTAGATAATACTAACCTCTAGTTAGTATTAGGAGAGGACAGGTATGTGATACTTGCAATAAACTGAGGTGAGCACTACTATTAATCGTATGTTAGAAAGTGTGACTGCAATTAAAGGAGAGTGGAAGAGGCGTAGAGAAATTACTGAGGAGGAAAGGAAACTATGTTAAAAGTTCTGCTTTTACATATATTATCTCATTTAACTTTCAGAAGTGTTTTGTGCCCATTTTGCAGCTGAAGAAATGGGTTTCGAGTGGGTGAGCAACCTGCATAACTGGCAGCTGGTGGAGGGAAGTTTTGAAGCCAGATCTTACTGATGGCGAAATAGGCCCTATTGTGTAGTGAGGAAGGCTTCTCGCTGCTTGTGAGCCCTGCTGAGCTGCGGGCAAACAGAATTGCTTTGCTTTATTTTGGGACTTTGCTGTTGTGGTTTATTGAAAATGGAGGAATGATATTTTGAACCCCTGGGGTCTCTTGGCGTGCAAGCTGAGGTTCTTTGAGGCCTCTGATTTCTAGTTTAATGTATTAAACTCCACAGAGATTAGGGTAGGTTTGTAACGTGTAGCTCATTGTGCCTGCTGATGTGATTCAAAGGGCGGAGTAATCCACTGGATCTGTGTCATAGGACATTATTTTCAGTACTTCCCCCCATTCTCTTTCTCACGGTGGATGCACCTTGCGACCCTGCGATTTCCACAGTGCAGAATGGAATACGTAGGTTTGAGAGTGCCCTGCAGGCTCTGTCTACATGCTGCGCCCCTGTGTGGGTTCTCTGTTGACCAGTTGGAAACAGTAACAACAGCAATTCTAGCCTTAAGGTTATAGAGCAGGTGTTTCCAAGCCTTTGCTGTGCATTGGAATCACCTGGGGCGTCAGCTATTTGGGTTCGACCGTAAGAGATTATGATCCAGGAGGTCAGGATGGACTCAAGAATGCATATAGAGTTTAAAAGCCTACGTTTTGTGCAAGTTCCCCAAGCAGTGCCCAGGTGAATGAGAAGCACTCATGCGGGCTGATTCCTACCATTATCTAAAGAAGTAGTTCTCCAAGAGAAGGAGCGTGTGCTGGAATCACTTGGGAGTTTTTGGTAAACTTCAGCACTAGGCATCGTAGATTTAGAGGGATGGAATGGATAAAAGAAGCTCTGCAGGTGATTTTGATGGAAAACCAGTATTTAAACAATTTGATTGGACCTTACTTTTAACTGGTATAGGTTGGTGGAAGTTTATATTAATCAAACGCTGTCGCCATAGACTATGCCTAAGATAAAGAATACTGTAAAGATGTTTAACATTAAAATTATATGACATATAATTGAATATTCCTTGGATTCAGAAGCTTCCTTTGGAAGTTTGAAGTACTTCAAGGTC